CAGGGGAGGCAGCCCTAGCTCTCCTCTGGCCATTGGGGAGGGCCAAGCTGAAGTTTGGCAGCCCTGGCTCTCTCCCCCTGGCTTCTGGGCCCCGCCCTCTGGCCAGGCCAGCCCCAGCTCTCCCTTCCCCCCTCTGGCTCCCAAGGAGTTGGGCCTGGCCAAGGCCACAGCTGGCCTTACTCTCTCCCTCAGTCCACTGGGGGGTGGGCCAAGCCAAGGCTGCTGCTGGCTCAGCTCTCTCCCTCAAGCTGCTGGGGGTGGGTTGGGCTGGGAAGAGGAAGGGCTGGGCCCAAGCCATGCTAGGCCTGGCTTTTCCTCCGGCTGCGAGGAAGGGTCTGGCCCCAAGGACCCCCTGGCTCTCCCTCCCCAGCCGGACCCTTCCCCTCCCCTCATCCTCTCCCCACTATGTACATCCCTACCTCCCCAGCCACGCCCAAGCTGAGCTGGGCCTAGCTTTCCCCATGGCTGCCAAGGGGTTGGGCTGGATTGAGGCTGTTGCTGGCCCAGCTCTCTCCCTGGCTGCTGGGAGGGTTCAGGCCAAGGCTCCACAGTCTTCCCCCCATCTGCCAGGGGCAGGGGGCCTCACACTTTTCCACCTGGCTACCAAGCTCCAGGAAAGGAAAAGAGAGGAGGGAGGGAGAGGTTACTGGACGTAGAGTGATGTGATGTTGTCACTCTGTTTTCCTGCAGGAAACATTTTTAAAATATATAGAGAGAGAGATGAAGAAAAAATAACATTAAGGCTAAGTCCAGCTGGCAGGAAACTCTGACTGCAGATGTATGCAAATACACAAAGTAAAGGAGGATATTACAAATCCACCCCATCCTTGCTGTTCAGATCTGGGTGGTACTGACATAACAATGGAGTTGCAAGTTCAAATAAATCAGCAGCATTCAATATGCTTTTCTGACCCACTGCTACAAGAACTATTTTTGAAATAGATGGTGTACCTACATCTATAAAAAATATGCCCACTGTTTTCATGTTATGTAAGAAATGTACACAGTTGTTGTGGGGCAGAAATCTGAATACAGGCCCTGTTGCAAAGCCTACTAAGTCAACAAGATCACAGTGGACAGCACAGCATGGCTTTTTTTAAAAAAATGCTTATACTATGTTTTTATTTATGGGTAAAATATCTATTTTGTATGGACAAATTTGCCCAGGGAAGCATAACTGTTTCAAACACTGAAATGCAATCAGTAAAGTTAAAAAGGAAAGTGGCCTGTTAATAACCATTTAACTGTAAACTAAAGCAAGGTCTGCAATATAATGTAGCACACCTTAAAGAAGTCAAAGAATCCCATCAACTGAGCCTTTCCCAGCTCTTTCTCCTTGTCTCGGAAGAAGAAATATCCTGTTATTCCAGCATCTAGTAGCTCTGGATTCTCTTTAGATAGCTGCACCAATTGAAGACGTTCTTCTCGGCTGTCTCGACCTCTGAAGAAAGCTAGCTCCGTTTTGTTGTGCCAGAAAGGGCCTACAGAGATTGAATGACATAAGGGAGAGAAAACAGCCTTAAAGTCTTCAAACTACACATGCTCATACATTCAATATGATTTTATTATAATATCAAACTAATGCTCCCATGTATGGTAAAACAGGTAACAGCATAATTTCCATTATGAACTTACTCATTAATTAAAGAAGCCTTTAAGCCTCACTGGTAAATATTTGTCCTGTTCTGAAGTTTTCTGAACAAGAGACCTTCAATCTTAAAAGTCCACCCAAATACCCCAAGACATAATTCCAGTCCCCATTAGGAACCTCTGGTAAGCAGCCAATTTTCCCAGACAGTGTTGAAGGGTCACTAAAAGGTGACCTGCAGAGGGAAAAAAAAGATGGTGTATTCTTTTTTTTGTATCATTACAATGTACAGTGAAAATCTGTAAGATTTTCACTTTGCTTATTGTTATACTTTTAGAAATTTCCAAAATATCAAATCTTGCCTTTCCTGTTAGTGTTCATGGAGGATCCAGAGAAGTGGAATGGGAGCTTATTCCACCCTTAATTGAAGGAACAGGTATACTGAGTCATTAACAAGAGTCCTTGTCTCCAAACTGTTTAGCAGGTATTTGAATTAAATAAATATTTGGAGAGTGAGAGGGAGCTTTAAACTGTCTAAATAAACATCACTTTCCCAGTTAGGTTTCATTTTTTGTGTGTTCATCATGTCAAATTTCTAATTCCATGAGCTGCCGTAGGGTCTCCTAGGAAAAAGAAAAATTTTCTAAAGTTGAAAAACACAAATGGAGGAACAAAGCCCACTCCTTAAGGTTTTCTTTATACATAGACACAAATTTTCCATTTGCAGGCCAAATTAAATTTTTTTTCAGTGTAGTGGAGGCTGCCCTGTATGAAGTTATGCATTCTTTTTTCACAGTTTAAACAATTACAATAGCTCAAATCCCATTTTAGGAATTGAACAAATATTTGTTTATAATTAGTGCTCCAAAGCACTTTATAGGATGAAAGGAATTATAATCATGATATGTACATCAGCATGAATCCACCATAACTACACTTTCCTAAGTGCCTATTTTCTAAAAATGTTTCAATGCAAAATGAAATACTTGTACTTTGCATATCAACATGACAGAGCATAAATTACTTCAAAAGGATGTTTATGGTCTGTTTTGTGAACTCTTATATAAGTAGAAGGAAGAGATTATTATGAATACAAATTATTTTTCTCAGAACCCAAATGAGAGACTGTTAATTTAAAAGTCAATGGTGTTGCATGAGTGTAACTACAGTCTGAATTGAAGGCCAAATTTTCAAACCTGAGTGCCTAATATTAGGCTCTGAAATCCACATTTAGGCACTAAAGAAGAGCATTTTCAACTGATGTCAGTGGATGTTGTGAATGTTCACTACTTTTGAAAATCAGGTCACTCACAGATACTTACATAAGGTATCTGGTTTCTTAAATGTTGGCCAATGTCTCTCTTTACATATATTCTCTTGTTTTTTAAAGGTTTTTTTCTCCCTGAAGGTCAGCATGGAACTACAGAGCTGGAATTCATATGCAAACTTGACTGGGTCTGAACAGAGAGTGGGAGTGGATAGCTCATTACAAAAAATAATTTTCCCTCTTTTGGTATTCTCACCTTCTCATCAACTGCTGGGAATGGGCCACGTCCATCCTGACTGAATTGACCTTGTTAGCATAGATCCTCTGCACAGTAATGTGCACATCCATCTTTTCACGTATACATATATCTGCCAAACTGAAGTTTCCATTTCATGCATCTGACAAAGTGGGCTCTAGCCCATGTACGCTTATGCCCAAATAAATTTGTTAGTCTTTAAAATGCTACAGGACCCCTCATTATGTTAACATCTATCCTCTTTACTTCACTTTTGGCAAGCTTATGAATTCTATCCCATTGATTTTTAAAGGCTACAAATTCTAATATACCTGTGTTTCCTTGAATAGAAAGGAGGTCATTTGTAACACCACGCAGGGTTTCAAGTGTTGAACGGGTTATATCATAAGTTGGAAGGACTAGGTCTCTTGAATCCACAGAACCACACCATGAAATGATAGGTATAGGGCCAGGTGTATCGTTAGCTGTTCGATGTTCCATTGGCCAGTCTCCAACATTAAGATAAAACTCTACATCAGGGAGACGAACCTAAAAGTATATTCAATGCAGGACAAAGACTTACACCTCAACTGTTCATGATTTAAAAGTAAATTATGGTCATCAGTTTTCCTGTGTGACAAAGAATCATTCATTTTCAGTGTTGCTGTAGCCGTGTTGTTCCCTGTATACGAGAGGTAGTACCTTTTTTCCCCCCACCAATTTCTGATGGTAGAAAGGACCATGCTGTAGGAGACTACTTTAAAGGAAGTGGGCAATTAAGGGTATAGGCAGTAAAGTATGTTACAGTTTATTATAATGAGCTCATTATTTGCCCCACTGCCTGAAAACCCTTAAATGCCCACTTCATTTTAAGTGGTCTTCTACAGCATGTGTGACTCCTTATGCTTAACAATCTGTTCCAATTTATATTTAGTGCTCACACTCTAGTTA